GTAATGAATGAACAGTTTATCTAATAGGCTTTATGCCGAGCGTCACGTGACCAAGCCGGAAAACAGATCACATCGCTTCCGATTCAGGTCTTTTGTATGTGCTTCATACATTTTTTTTGCGGTTTTACTCAAGATAACTTAAAAGGAGCAAGCAAAAATGAGCATAACCAATGTCCCTCGCATGTGCAGATTAATATTTAAAAGTTTTTTAATTTTTCTTCTTCACACTAACATTTAGATATTTAAATAGCATAAAACACCAATAACAAAGTGAACTTAGTAGGTTAGCTGATTACCTTAAAAATCCATAGATATCGTAGTTAGTTCTTACGGCAGTTAACACTTTCTGTTACAAGCGGATTCAATGAGACCCGTTTTCCGGTTTGGTCACGTGACGCTCGGCATAAAGCCTATTGCATATAGTAGTGAGATACTATAATTTAAAGGTCCCGTTCTTCATGTTTTTTGAAGCTTTGATTGTGTTTACAGTATGCAATATAACATGTGGTCATGTTTCGCGTGTAAAAAAACACAGTATTTTTCACACAATTTACTTATCTGTATACCGCTGTTTTCACTGTCCAAAAAACGGGCTGATGACTTCCTTGCTCTATGAAGTCCCTCCTTCAGAAACACGTCACGAGTTCTGATTGGGCCAGCGGTTCCTGTGTTGTGATTCGACAGCAGCTTAGCGCACGTTGCCCGGAAAGGTCACGCCTCTTACCATAACGTGGAGATGCATGCGCACATTTTCGGGAACCGAGTTAAACATAAATTGTAACCATTGATCTCTAAGCACAGCGTCCCTGGGAAGGCCAGACACAGGTGAATTGACTCCGGCATGAAAATAACAGTGTCTCGACGACATGGCGACAAACACACTCTACAAACGAAACTCTTCCTCTTCTCCGTGGAGCGCAACAAGACAACGCCCCCTTTTTTGTGTATTCCCGTGGGCAGAGATTATTCAAAAAACTGTTTTAGTTACGTCATTAAAAACGGAAGTAGAGGGATGTAGTCCAAACCGGCCGTTCGCTGTAGGCTTTGAAAGTGGACTTCTGTTAAATAAAATATCTCGCTAGGCATTGAACTTGGAGCTTTATAATTTTACAGGTATTATTTATGCTCTAACAGCTACATTACACACTAACTAAAGTTTGAAAAATGGAGTCACGAAGAATGGGACCTTTAATGGCAGTTATTTTTACCTTATAACTTTATGCTAACAGTAGTTCTGAGTTCTTCAGAGCCCCCAGACAATGGGATTTGTAACAATCATGTCAGTCTTTTTTAGAAGCATTTATTATCACTTTTATTAATTAATGTTTTACTATACAGTTGTGCAGTTTTGAGGTGAATATATGGCATTTTTTAAAATTTATTTGCCAAAATTATTAACGATATTTATAGGCTACAGGTTTATTATGTTTTATGTAAAATTCACATTAAAGACGACATTTTGCAGTTTCATTCATGTTGAAAACATGAACCATGCCATAATTTAGTGCAAGATTGCTGCCATCAACTCCCAAACAAACACTTTTGCTAGTGCTCAATGAATAGTTTGTGCATGAATGACATTTGGACGATGACATCACTGTTTTATCCAGAGCAAGCTATATATAAATTAGAAAAATTAATATTTTTTTTACAACAAAATAAACCATCACTGAACAATACTTAAAGGGTTAGTTCACCCAAAAATGAAAATTCTGTCAATATTTACTCACCCTCATGTTGTTCCAACCCCGTAAGACCTTCGTTCATCTTCGGAACACGAATTAAGATATTTTTGATGAAATCTGACAGCTGATCACTCCTCCATACTAGTCCATAGGCTTCTTCAGGGATTGAACTTGTCGGCATCGAAAAGTTATTAAAGACATCGTTAAAATAGTCCAAGTGACTACAGTGGCTCAATCTTAAGTTTATCAAGCGACGAGAATACGTTTTGTGCGCAAAAACAAACAAAAATAACGACTTTATTTCAACTATTCATGTCCTTCTCTTTGGGCCTCTAGTCAGTTAACGTAGTGTGATTCCGTAGAGCTACGTCACACGTAGGCTCACTATTGGCCGACGCTGGTCATGTGCGTGATGCGTGTGACGTACAACAACAGAAGCTTACGCTATTAGACTAGTGAACTGACTCGAGGCCCACAGAGAAGGACATGAATAGTTGAAATAAAGTCGTTATTTTTGTTTGTTTTTGCGCACAAAAAGTATTCTCGTCGCTTGATAAACTTAAGATTGAGCCACTGTAGTCACTTGGACTATTTTAATGATGTCTTTAATAACTTTTTGAGGCCGACAAGTTCAATCCCTGAAGAAGCCTATGGACTAGTATGGAGGAGTGATCCAGCTCTCAGATTTCATCAAAAATATCTTAATTCGTGTTCCGAAGATGAACGAAGGTCTTACGGGGTTGGAACAACATGAGGGTGAGTAATTTCTGACAGAATTTTCATTTTTGGGTGAACTAACCCTTTAAGCTTGATTATGACACTATTTTCTTCTAGATCTGCTGTACAGGAGAAGCAAACTTTGTTGCATTATTTTCCAGTTATCACTAAAGCTGCCTTGAAATAATCTGTATTGTAGGCTAAAAAGCGCTATATAAAAATAAAGGGGACTTGACTTGAATGCTAGATGTAATGCTCTTGCTATATATATATATATGACTAAATAATCACCAACACAATGATGGGGTGAAATGGGCTGTAATGCATGGGGCACCAGGTAAAATCTTGCCTAGGGCAGCAAATTGGTCAGGGCCGGCCCTGGTCCTCCTGTATTATATATTAGTGTTTGATTTCAGAAAATTATAACTTTTAATAAATAATAATATAATTTGATTGCTTTAATTTTAGTCTTGCTTCACAAGGTCATCTTTTAAAATGAGTTAGGTAAGAGTGTATTTCCTTCCATTTATTCATTAAAGCTGCTGTCCGTAACTTTTTTAAGTTAAAAATAATCCAAAATAATTATATTAAAAAAAAACATATTCGAGCATGTCTTTGCGTCATTACGTCACACCCGTACACATAAAGAAGGAGTTTCGGCTAGCCGGCTATACTGCGCGTGACGAGATGTTTAGATGTATAGGCTTTTCTCGCAGCACTTTACATGATTAAACTTATGGCATCCAGAAAGATCCAAACAACAATCATTAGTGTCAACTGGAGATTCAGCAGTTATAAAACCCAAAAGACTTCGTACTTCGGATGTAAGGTGGCTAGAGAAAGAGAAAGAAACCGTCTCATGCGAACACAAGGATTTAAACATCGGCGGGGCTTTTGAAAAGTGCGTGAACTCCGTGTTTTGAAGGGGTTCAAAACAGAAGAAGAGACGGCTTTTTTCTGCTGAACAAGTAAGTTAAGACATTTCAATAGTTCAATCGTGTAACAGTACGTTTTCTTAATTCACACAGTTATGGAGTTTCCTTTGTTGTGCCTTTCTCGTTTTGCTATTATGGAGAATATGAATTCTGAACTACGCAGGTAGCTGCTAACCATAAAACACATTAAATTTAACATTAGTCGCGCAATGCTGATGTTATTAACATGAACAATTTGAGAACAAAGTAGGCTATAATTTGCACGGTTGCTGTAAATCGCGTTGATTAAATCTAACGAAGCTTATCATGTCGAATGCTTTTTCCCCCTTAGTTGGTCAGAACAAAAATGGATGTTACTTGTTCAGAAGACATTTTCTTATGAAAATTCTTATGTTGGTCAAACTTTCAAAAAGTGAATCTGTGATTCTGTATGACAGTATCCACACAGCGCGGTGAGTGACAGCAGCACTCGCCTCAAAGCACTGTGTTCATCCGCGCTGTTTCATGCCGATTTACAACCCACGTAAAGATGATAATTCCGCGAATCACTGCAGTTACAGATTTCGAACAGAGAGATGGCGACAAAGAGGAAAAGCTACGGACTGGAGCTTTAAACTGGATGTGATGCTGTTTCGTATGTTTTGTCTGTCTAGTCAATCTAGATCCCAGCTAACAGTGAAAAGGAAGCAGTGGAAGAAGAAATGGTAGAAATTGAATTGACAGAGATAAAGAAAAATGCTACTAAAATGGCAACAGTATTGGAGTAATGAAATCAAAGGGAGAATACAAGGAAACGTTGGGAGAGGTATAAGTAGTAGTATCTCAAGATTCAGATTGGAGCACGTTCTACATAAAACGCTTCATCTAATATCTAAACATCCAAGGGTTGAGTGAATGGTGTGGACAGAGCGAAACTGAACACGTGATTATTAATTGTAATCATGATGAAGAGAAAGAAATATTATGAGAGGACATAAAAATTATGAACAAACATTCTTCTAGTAGCCTAATGTTAATAACTGTTTGATTAGAGTTATCTGGTCTTTAATAATGTTCTCAAAACGTTAGCACAACAACACTATTTAGCCTAGCTCTATAGGTTTTCATCTGAATCATTTTAGTTGGAGGCTTGTATTTTTAAACGATTTTAAATGCTACTTTTTGTTTCAGAATGTTCAAAGAACATTCAAAGTAACATTCCCATAATGTTTGCAAAACATTTTTTTTTAATGTTCCCTTAACATTTGCATAACCAAGAAAAAAAACTATTTTAAACATTTGAAAAACTGGACATTTTTAACGTTAGTGGACATTTTTAAGTTAATGGAAACGTTAGCAAAGCGTTCTAAGAACATATTTGTGCTACTTGGAATTTGTCCTCTGCATTTAAGCCATCCAAGTTAGAGCACTGCACATTGGGAGTGTTAATGTAATGTAACATTACCTATTAAAGTTAATGTAAGGTGTGCATTAAAAGTGATTCATGTAGTAGTAATCAATGCTATTCACAACATGCTTGTATATGTGTATTTTTCCATATAGTCTGTTATGTGGCTGGTTCAAGTTTAATCATTTCTAGTCTCATCAAAATGGAGAGAAAAGTTGTTTCTCAGAGATCAGTGTGAAACAGTGATTTTTCCTCATCTGACAGAGAGAGTTATAATGAGGTTATACATGAGTGTCATTTCAACATATTCAACTTCCTGTTTTAAATACAACTTCAGCCATCTTGATGTTCGTTACAATGGCAGTAGATCGTCTGCTTACATCCTTCATTCTTCTCCTCATCTGTAACACAGGTAATACACTCAATTATTAAATGTGTATAAATAACTGAAATGTCTTGTTGCTTTATCTATAATGTCGCTTGTATAAAGCATCATGTTCAGTCTGCTATAGTTCTGCATCTGATGAACAGGATCTGCTCCTGATGAGAAACTAAAGCACTAGAGAGAAAGAGTGACTCGTCTCTAACTTTACTAACACTAGAGTGCTAAAGAATCATTTCCATTAGGCTACATTAGAGACTGAAAAACAGACATCAGATTTGTATTTATTGGAGATATTTTGATTATATTTCATGAACCATGTTGTAACACAGTTAGTTGTTGTGGGAAGAAGGAGGTGGAAACTGGCGAACGATCAAAGACTTTTTAATAATAAAACATAATAAACAAATACAAAACGAAATTAATAAACACATCATAAATCAGAAACACAAAGTTAAGTTCAGGCCTGTCCTTCACTGTCGTCGCGACTCGCTCATAGTTTGTTTTGTTATTTGTGTGTTTTCAATGTTCATCAAACACATCTAACCTGTAATTTAACTTTGCCGCCTGAGAGCAATGCATAATGTAAGGGCTAAAATATCTGCAAGACTGCAACTCCAGAATGGAGACAGTAGTTTTGATCAACTCTGGTATTGAACACAGAGCATGAGACGCTTAACAAATCAGTGTGTTTCTCTCTCCTCAGGGTTCAGTGCTGAGATCTCTGTGTTTGTGCAGACGGGAGATTCTGTTCAACTGGATATACAGACACAGAAACTACCAGAGTTTGAAATTTTATCCTGGAGAAATGATAAATCAGAGAGTATAGTTAGATATATAAATGAATCTAAAACAGTAAAACTTCACTCTTCCTACAAGGACAGAGTGTATTTCAATGATGAAACTTTCTCTCTCACACTGAAGAACACACAGAAGACAGACAGTGGACTCTATACAGCAAAGACAACTGGATTATTGAATAAAGATATTGCTGCATACAGAGTATCTGTTATAGGTGAGTCTCATTTCATTGTGTTCCTGCATAAGAGACAAATCATAAGAATAATTTATGTTTAATTTCTCACTCTTATAGTGTGCACATTTAAGCTTATTGTGTCACTTTTTTTATATTCATCAGTTTATTAACTTTATTTATTTTACTCTAACGTTTTAAATAAAGAATACAGTTAAATGTGGTTAAAGAAATATTGTTGGTTCGTGTTTATTCTTTATGTTGTCTTTAGATTTGAATGTATACTGCATCTCTGCTGTGATATTTATACAGCATGAATTAATGTTTAAACTTTTTTTTTTATCAATGGGCTGTTAAATTGTGAGTGTGATTCTGATCTTGGAGTAAATGTGTGTTTCAGACGCTGTGGAGGATCCTGTTCTGACTGTAAACTCACACTGGTCCAGTGTTTCCTGTGTTATTTTTAGTTTTACATGTAGAGGTCATGACCTCACACTCAGCTCCATGTTTCAACATGGCAGCTGCTCTCCAGAGGAAGTGACATCACATGAGAACTACAGTCTCATCCTGAACTGCAGTGAGGAATCAATCATCTGTAACCATAGCAACACTGTCAGCTGGAAGGAAGACAGAATTAATATAAAACAACTCTGTAGAGGTGAATATCTGCTTTTAATTGTATCTCACAAATCAAGGCTGCTTACAAAAGATTAATTATTATATTCTTCATCTTTTACTTTCCAGATAATCAAAGACTACAAATCGAAACAACATCTTTTATGCCGCTGGTTAGTCTTATGTTTATTGTGTTTGGTGTTGTGGCAGTGATCGTGATGGTGTTTTCTGGTTTGCTCCTTTACTGTTGCTGCAAGAATAATAAAGGTATATCCATCTTACAAATATAAAAAAAACTGATATTTATACCTAAAAAATGTATTCTTTAGTAGCTAAATAATGTTGAAATTTGGAAATTATTAAAGGGGAACATAAGCAATAAGGTTTATATAGAGAAACAACACATGATTCCTGCACATGATTCCTGTCTAAACATTTAGAAGATATTAAGCCAAGATACATCATTGTCTAGTTTTGTCTGGCCATATTGTATGTTTATAGTTTATTTTCCTTCTGTTTCACAGCATAGAATATTCCTTGCAAATCCCTTAAATACACAAAATGATCTTGTTTCTAATTATTTATTTTTAAATCTTGACTACAATTCTGACTACACTAAATATTTGCTGCTGGCAATAAATACTTTAAATTTCATACACTTTTTAACTCTTTATGAAATTCTAAGGAGATACTACAAAAACTATTTTATATTACTAAGAGCTGTGTAGTGAATCCAGAACGGGTCAATAATAAACTTGTAGGCTGTCAGTCTGATAGATGAGAGAAATCAAACATCTGACAGAAATCAAATGCAAAGAAACATGTTTCCACACAAACCTGTAATCTGTGCAGTAAACGTCATATTCTGACCTCTCAGGTGTCAAACAGAGTGATGATACAGACTACGATGATGTTGAGGTGAGATTCAAATTACTTCATATCTATTCCTGCGCAGACGTCACAGATAATAAATGTCACATGACCCAATGAATATTAACTGCATTTCACATGATCTGTGGTGGTTCGATTCATTTTTGTTCAGACTCTGATGCAGAAGATGACAGGAGATACCTGGACCACCATCACCTACCGTACAGCAGGACACCAAACACCTTCATCTGCTCTTGACTGTTAAAGCATAAAAATACTTTTTTGATTGACTGGACTCACAAAAGTCTTGATTTAACTCCCAGATTTCATGACTCTTGTGAAAGTGTACAGAATATCTTATACTACTGTAAGTCCAATGAACTTAAGTACGTTGCTGCAGATATTATGAACGGGTGCTTCTTTGCTTCCCTCATGTCACTTTAATATATCTCATACTGTAATCATACTGTTTGTTTTTTTATGCTGTTTGAATTTCGGCTGTTTTTACAATGATATTTTGAATGGCTGTCGTTGGTGGTGAAAATGCTTTTTGCAGTCAGATGGTGTAGTTATAACTTCTACCAGCAGAGGCTCAGGGTCTTCTAACCAGATAAACTGGCCAATGTTCTAGTTGGACTTTACAAATGTCAATGTCTCTCTCATTTCTATGTAAACCTGTGTGTGGCTTGTATTATGAAGGGGTTCAACATTTATATACAGTTACTCATTTAAAATAGTTTATTGTTGGATCCAGGAATGTTTTCTGTGACTGGTCCAAACCAATGTTTGTTTTCAGTTTTCATACTCTAGTCTCATATGCAGGTTATTAAAATGCTGTAACTTTCTTAAATTGTCCTGTATCTTTCTTAAACATCTCCTGCTTTATTTTATTTTTTATTTTTTAGAAGCATTAACATTAAATCTAACTGATATAACTAAACTAATAATTGTCCATCCGAGGATCATGACAAAAGCTGAGCTGGTGAGAGAGTTATAATGAGTGTCATTTCACACATATTCAACTTCCTGTTTTAAATACAACTTCAGCCATCTTGATGTTCGTTACAATGGCAGTAGATCGCCTGCTTTCATCCTTCATTCTTCTCCTCATCTGTAACACAGGTAATACACTAAATTATTAAATGTGTATAAATAACTGAAATGTCTTGTTTTTAAGGGCTTTATCTATAATGTCGCTTGTATAAAGCATCATGTTCAGTCTGCTATAGTTCTGCATCTGATGAACAGGATCTGCTGAGGAAGCACTAGAGTGCAAGAGTGACTCGCCTCTAACATTACTAACACTAGAGTGTTAAAGATCATTTCTGTTACATTAGGGATTGAAAAACAAATGTATATCTGTTTACATACACCAGTTCTTCAGGGGTTAAAACACAAAGTGATAGTGCTGATGCTTTAAAGCCCCTAACGTTATACAGTTACTTATTAGAAATATTGTAGTTATATTTCATGATTCATGTATCATAGAAACAAGTATTTTATGTTCATGGATTGAGCCTCACTCTGAAATGCTAAACGAAATTCAGTCAGCTGGTGATGATGTAAAAATAATAAAACATACAGTATATGACAGTTGGTCCGGTTGACTTGATGTTTGCATTGTCCTTGACCAAGATCTTAATGCTGTATTACAGTAATCAGACTTCTGTCTGGTGTCTTTATACCACATTTATATTACTGTGAGCACAGCCCCAACAAATTACTGAACCAATGAGCCTCATGATTTATTTATTCACCTAAACAAATACAGGAGTGAGAGTTGATGATGGAGTAAGATGGAGGTTTAAAATGGGTCCAAATGTGTTTCTCTCTCCTCAGGGTTCAGTGCTGAGATCTCTGTGTTTGTGCAGACGGGAGATTCTGTTCAACTGGATATACAGACACAGAAACTACCAGAGTTTGATCTTTTATCCTGGACAAATGATAAATCAGAGAATATAGTTAAATATATAAGTGGAACTAAAGAAGTAAAACCTCACACTTCCTACAAGGACAGAGTGTATTTCAATGATGAAACTTTCTCTCTCACACTGAAGAACACACAGAAGACAGACAGTGGACTCTATACAGCAAAGACACATGGAGAATCAGACTATGATATTGTTACATACAGAGTATCTGTTATAGGTGAGTCTCATTTTAATGAGTTCCTGCATAAACAACAATTCATAAGAGTAATTTGTGTTTAATTTTCACTTTTATATATTATGCACATGAATAATATGGTTAAAGAAGTATTTTTGGAAAGAGATAAATGAAGTTCCTAAACGTAAATTAGGGAGGAGCGAGCCCATCCAATCTTTCAATCAACAAACAGAGTATATAAGCAGCCGCTTACCTCTCCCTAGTATCAGCTGTTCCAGTATCCCTCCACCTCCCCAAACTCCACCTTCATCTTAGGTACCTTGCCCTTTAATTAACAGGTCCTACATTTAGCCACTGGGGGGTATATCAGAGCTCGAGTTGAAGCTGCTTCATCGAGCCCCTCTCCAGCGGACAGCAAGCCAAATAAGTTTAACCTAATATCTTAAAGATTTTATGGGCAAACGAACTCGTTAAATTCATTTAAAATATCTTTGTGTTGTCTTCAGATTTAAATGTGTACTGCATCACTACTTTGGTTTCTATTCACCAAAACAAGCATTTAAACCTTTTTACATCACTGGGCTGTGAGTGTGATTCTGATCTTGGAGTAAATGTGTGTTTCAGACGCTGTGGAGGCTCCTGTTCTGACTGTAAACTCAAACTGGTCCAGCAGTGACTCCTGTACTGTGAACTTCACATGCAGAGCTCATGACCTCATGATAAACTCTAGCTATCTGAACAACAGATGTTCTGCACAGGAAGTGACATCACAAATCAACACTCTAATCCTGCACTGCAGTGAGGAATCCATCATCTGTAACCATAGCAACCCGGTTAGCTGGAAAAAAGATAGAATTAACATTACACCGCTCTGTGGAGGTAAATATCATATTAAATACATGTGTGTGTGCATTCAGTGAGCATTATCTACTTGTCTTTATTCTCACTTTTGGTTTGTAAGAGGCATGTTAATAAATATTAATACTTATGTTAAATATTACATATAATTAAGCGACTATAGTTTACTATAGGCTGATTGATGCTGTTCTTCATCTTTTGCTTTTTAGAGAATGAAAGAAGAGCAATCCGGCATAGTTCACCATTTGGTCATATTTTGATCATTACAGTGATTGTTGTAGGAGTTATAGTGTTTTCTAGTTCGGTCCTTTACTGTTGCTGCAAGAATAATAAAGGTATGTCCATCACAGAAATACTGAAAAACTGATCTCACATTTATAACTGAAATAGTTTCTTTGTTACTGAAACAAAGGTTTAAGAGCAACAAGACATTCCTTGATTATTACAAAGCCAAAAATTAGATTCACCAATTTGGCATCACTTTCACAACTCACAGGGTATCCCTTCATTTTTTGATGTGCAGATTCCTCCATTGCTTTCAGTTGTTTTTCATTTGTATATATCAGATCAAGATGCATTTAATTCATTGCATGTATTTGTCAAAGTAGAAATTATTATAATAATTATATAACTCTAAACACTTTTCAACAATATAAAACACTTAACAGGAAAATAAAGGTACAGTCACAGGTATTTATTGCAAAACCATGTCTATCGTGTCTGTGTATTGACACCGAAGGTTTCTTACTGAAAGCAGTAGAATATGAAAAACTGCACTAAAAACTGTACCTTAAAAAGTGACTCCAAGGGGTCCTGACTAAGTTTCCAAATGTGACGAGGGGGAATGAGAATGTGTTATAACTTCTGCAGAAACTATAAATGTGCCCTTTTATCATTACTAAGAGCTGTGTAGTGAATCCAGAACTCTGGTCAATATTAAACTTGTTGGCTGCCAGTCTGATAGATGAGAGAAATCAAACTTCTGACAGCAATCAAATGCAAAGAAACATGTTTCCACACAAACCTGTAATCTGTGCAGTAAACCTCCATATTCTGACCTCTCAGGTGTCAAACAGAGTGATGATACAGACTACGATGATGTTGAGGTGAGATTCAAATGACTTCATATCTATTCCTGCGCAGACGTCACAGATAATAAATGTCATATCTTTTATGTCTTGTTAGGACTTAGTGTTACTTCCTGTTCCGAGTGCCAGTTTGGCAGTCCTTTGTAATAGGCCTATTCCCTGTTGATTGTTCTGATTGTCCCAGATGTGTCTTGTTAGCTTGTTACTCCTTGTGTATACTATATATAGCCCTTGTGTTTCCTTTGTTCTTGTCAGTCGTTGAATGTATCATGTGCATGTTTGTTTTCCCAGTGTTTCCCTGTTTTGGTTTTGATTTGTTTTCATTGAGTTCACTTCTTAGTTCCCTAGTGTTACCATGTCACCCAATACTGTATTAACTATGTTTCACATTCTGTGATGGTTTGTTTGATTTCTTTTCAGACTCTGATGCAGAAGATGACAGGAGATACCTGGACCACCATCACCTACCGTACAGTAGGACACCAAACACCTTCATCTGCTCATGACTGTTAAAGCATAAAAAGACTTATGATTGACTGGACTCACGAACGGAGCTTAAAGTCTTGATTTAACTCTTGTGGAAGTGTACAGATACTCTTACTGTTGTGAATGAACTTCAGTCGGTTACTGCAGATGTAATGAACTTGTGCTTCTCTGCTTCCCTCATGCACTTTAATATAGGTTAATCCAATCACACTCTTCATTGAGTGTTTTTATGTAGTTTGAATTTGTTTGCTGCTTTTCTTGACTGCTGCTTTCTCTTAAACTAAATACACATTATGGTCAAAAGTATTGGGACAAACCTCTTAATTATTGAATTTAAGTGTTTTAATCAGACCCGTTGCCACAGGTGTATAAAATCAAGCACCATGCAGACTGCATTTACAAAGATTTGTGAAAAAAAATGGGTTCAAGTGAATTCAAGTGTGGAACTGTCAATAAGTCCGTTTTTGAAATTTCATCTGTGCTAGATATTCCACGGTCAATTGTAAGTGGTGTTATTGGGAAGTGAAAGAGTTTAGGAACAACAGCAACTCCGCAATGAAGAGGAAGACCATATAAAGTCACAGTGGGGTCACCGAGTGCTGAGACGCATGGTGTGTAAAAGTCACCAGCCTCCACTGAGTCCATTGCTGATGAGTTCCAAACTTCCTCTGGTATTAATATTGGAACAAAAACTGCGGCGGGAGCTTTATGGAATGGGTTTCCATGGCCGAGCACCGGCAAGCCTCACATCACCAAGTACAATGTCAAGCATTGGATGGAGTTGTGTAATGCACGCCACCACTGGACTCTGGAGCAGTGGAAACTTGTTCTGTGGAGTTAGGCAGTCTGATGGATGAGTCTGGGTTTGACGGATGCCAGGAGAACATTATTTGCCTGACTGCATTGTGCCAACTGTAAAGTTTGTTGGAGAAAGTATAATGGTATGGGGATGTTTTTTAGGGGGTTGGACTAGACCCCTTACTTCCAGTGAAGGGAAGCCTTAATGCTTCAGCATATCAAGACATTTCGGATACTGCCTCCAACTTTGTAGGGAAAAAACACTTAGAAACACTCCAAAATCTTGTGGACAGCCTTACCAGTAGAGTGGAAACTGCTCAAATCAAAATCAAATCAAATCCTTTTATTGTCACACAACCATATACACAAGTGCAACAGTGGGTGAAATTCTTAGGTGCAGTTTCGAGCAACATAGCAGTCATGACACGATGTGACGTAACAATTTACAGCAAACAGCAAACATTAGATTTACATAGATTACACATCTAATGTGTGCACAATTACTCACAGTACCATATACACTAACAAAACAATAAATAATATACAATGTACAATATACAACAATGTACAATATACAACAATATACAAAAATATAAAAAGAGGTATTTATACATACAATAGATACACATAAGGTGGAAATATATATATATATACATATATTATGTAATAAGCAGTAGTTTATGTTGTGCTGTGTTACCAGTTAGACTGTTTATGGTATTTGATCATGAGGGATCAAGAGTTTAGAAATCGAATTGCTTGTGGGAAGAAGCTGTCATGGAGTCGGCTGGTGTGTGTGATGCTGCGGTACCGGCTGCCTGATGGTAGCAGTGAGAGCAGTCCATGGCTCGGGTGGCTAGAGTCTCTGATGATCCTCCGAGCTTTCTTCACACACCGCCTGGCATATATTTCCTGGAGGGAGGGAAGCTCACCTCCAATGATACGGATGGCAGTGCGCACCACCCTTTGCAGGGCTTTGCGGTTACGGCTGGTAGTATTGCCATACCAGGCAGTGATGCAGCCAGTCAGGATGCTCTCGACAGTGCTGGTGTAGAACTGTGTGAGGATGTGGCGGTTCATTCCATACTTCCTCAGCCGTCTCAGGAAGAAGAGGCGCTGATGAGCCTTCTTCACGACGGCATCAGTGTGGACGCGGACCATGTGAGTTCCTCTGTGATGTGGACACCGAGGAACTTGAAGCTGCTGACTCTCTCCACCGGAGCTCCATTGATAGTGATGGGGCTGTGTTCTCTGTTGTTCTTCCTGAAGTCGACCACTAGCTCCTTGGTTTTGCTGATGTTGAGGGAGAGGTTGTTCTCCTGACACCAGTGTGTCAGAGTGAGCACCTCCTCTCTGTAGGCTGTTTCATCGTTGTCGGTGATCAGACCTACGACCGTCGTATCATCAGCAAACTTGATGATGGTATTGGAGCTGTGAGTTGCCACACAGTCATTTGTGTACAAGGAGTACAAGAGTGGGCTAAGAACACAGCCCTGTGGGGCTCCAGTGTTGAGAGTCAGTGATGAGGAGATGTTGCTGCCTATTATAACCACCTGGCGTCTGTTTGACAGGAAGTCCAGGATCCAGCTGCACAGCAAGCTGTTTAAGCCCAGAGCCCGGAGTTTCACATCAAGCAAAGAGGGCACTATGGTGTTGAATGCTGAGCTGTAGTCTACAAACAGCATTTTCACATATGTGTTCCTCTTTTCCAGGTGGGAGAGAGCAGTGTGTATTGTAGATGCAATAGCATCATCAGTGGAGCGGTTATTGCGGTATGCAAACTGCCGTGGGTCCAGTGAGGGAGGTAGAACAGTGCAGATGTAATCTCTGACTAGTCTCTCAAAGCATTTGCTGATGATGGGGGTCAGAGCAACAGGACGCCAGTCATTTAAGCAGGTGATATTGGTTTGCTTCGGTACAGGTACAATGATGGACGTTTTGAAGCATGTGGGGACTACAGACAAGGAGAGGGACCGATTAAAAATGTCCGTAAAAACATCAGCTAGTTGGCTCGCGCACTTTCTGATGGCGCGGCCCGGGATACCGTCTGGACCCGCGGCTTTACGGATGTTCACCCGTCGGAACGATCGAGTTACATCTGCTACAGAGATGGAGCGTGTACTAACCTCTGTAGCTTCAGCCGCGAGAACTCTCTCCGCGAGGGGGGTGTTAGTTCCCTCAAAACGAGCATAGAATGTGTTTAGCTCATCTGGGAGAGAGGCAGCGATAGCTATAGCTGCAAAGGTGGGAAAAACTCCATATTAATGTCTATTTAGAATGTGATGACATTACAGTCCCTGTTCGTGTAATAGTCAGGTGTCCCAATACTTTTTTCCAGTGTATGGTAATATCTAGGACTAGAGGTGGTCTCGGTACGCTTTTCAAACGAACTCTGGAGCGGTTCGTTTGTGGTGAGAACGTGATCTGACCTCGAACAGACCCAACTGCCAAAGAACTGCACATTTTTGGACTAAACCAGCTGACATAGTCAGCTGCGCTGTGCATTATGGGATGAGGACTAATGTTTGTTGACAATTTGCACTATGGCAGCTCGCGGAACGTGGAGTTCTGAGGAGGTGCGGACCATCATAGAAATTTGGTCTGATGACCATATTAGCTTCCAACTAACTTCCGGGAGCTCTGGAATTTTCCTGCACATTAATTCTGACCAATCGAAGTGCAACCCAAATAAAAATCCTTCAGTTTACAGTCACAGCATGTACCATCTTAATGGTCCTTTTTTTTTCTTCAAAAATAGAAATAAAATAAATTCACATCATCATTTCAATCATTATTTTCCCACTAAAAGATAGGGCATCGATTCAGATGTTCAAATTTGATTCGATTTCGATTCGCAAGCTCTCAATTCGATTGCGATTCGATTCTCGATTCGACTCAATGAATATAGATGTAATACAAATCCTATGTTTATAAAAAAGAACAGTGAACATAAGTTTACAAGTGGTTATTTAATAAAAAGAAATTAAGAGCCACAAACCTGTATATTAAACTCTTTTTATTTTAGGTACACGTGGGTACATTAAAACAGAACCAAAACTCTATATTTCAATTGCATACAATGAATAGACAGGATTTTGATGCAAGATGCAAAATTGATGCAGAAAATTGGACAAGTCAGAACAGTCACATGCCTTGATCAAACAGGATCAGGTTATTTTATGTTTAAGATAAATAAATATCAGTTATATTTTAGACAATTTTTTGTTACATTTATTTTAATTATTAATTTTGTTGTTAAGAGTTTATGCAACACATGGAAGCTTGATTTCAATATTTGAATTTAAAAAAAGTAGCACAAATAAATACAATAGAATAAAGATTCAAATAAAGAGACATAAAAAAAGTTTTTGGGTAGGTCAGAAATACTACATAAACTGAATAAAGTAATCCAATGTAAAATAACTAAGTTAAATCAGAGCCCGTCTAACGGAGAGCCTTGGCAATTCCTATTAGCCCTATTGTATAGACCCTTCTTATACTGTCTATGTATAGACCTTATGCACCAGAGAAACGTGGGTGCCGTCATCTTTAGAATATTGTCTTTGAACTTCCGTTTTTGCGGTCACTCTGTATATTTCTATGGCATCGCTGTCCACCAGGAGTAATTAGCTGGTGAAGTGGATTTACTTATTGTAGAGTTAACAAAAGTTATCATGAGCATTGTAATGTTTATCATAAGCATTGTAAAGCAGATGTCTTAACAAATGTCGACCGGGAAATTTTTTACGAGCAGTTCATTCATATGCAAGATCGCTGTGAAAATACAGACCGGAAGTCAAAAGACAACGAGCACAGCGCTGAAAAGGGGCGGGGCTACATAAGGTCTATATCATCTTGGTTGCAGTTCCATTAGAATTCCACTGGAGGTGGACACAATAATATATATTTTTTAACCGCGTATGACGACATATTATTCTACTCACCCTTCAACCATTGAACATTAAAAGGACATTTAAAAGTGTAAAAGCATAAACAAGGTACTTTCAACAGGCCGTGAATAATCTCTGAAAAAGCATCTTTCCACAGCAAAATCGGTCGGTTAAATATCACTGTGGTAATCTGTATTATATAACATACGTTGCCTTAAAGGTGAACTAAGTAACTTTTTTACCTTAACCGAACAGCTTTGGAGTCACTGTAATGTTTATATTACTGATTTCGTGTTGAATGGTGGTCGTCTCGCACCCCCCTGGTGCCTGTGAGCCGCGAAACCACCCTTGCAACTTTGGGCCGGCGGGCCGCCGGCCTCAATGTTAGGAAGTATGGTGTGATATCAGGTCTCGCGAGTTAACAAATTGCTTTACGGCAAAAAACAGATCTGATAAAATTCTGATAAAATGAGCATCAAACAGAAATAACCCAGCGCCGTATACATGTGGTGTTCGAGGCTTACATACAATACAGACTGCCGACAGTTAAACAGGGCGTGCGCGCAGCTCTTAAAGGGGCCATATCTTATTTCCATTCATTTCCAGCTCTGCCATGTTGATCTGTTCTAGGTATGGTAACTCTCAAGCCTGTTTTATGCTTCTGCGTCGTATCAACGGCGTACCCCCGCAGACCCCTCTGTGTCACCGCGAACCCCTCTCCGACCCCTTATACTTCTGCGTTGGACCTACGCCGGAGCCTCTACGCTATAGACTACGCGTTGGTTTTCATTTATACTTCTGCGTCGTTGTCCGCGTTGACGCGCAATTACACATGCAGAGAGAGCATGTGAAACCCGGGGAGCAGTTCTAGCAAGCCAATCACAGCGCTTGCGGTACGCGTAGAATTGACGCGTTGTTACATTTTTGGAGAGGTGCACGTCAGGGTACGCCGAAGGGTACGCGCCAGAGCCCGAAGCTATTTGTTTTGAGAATAATGGCTGGCTGATGAAGTTATTGGCTGGCTAGCCGGCTCAGCCAAAACCTAAATGGCTGCTGCAGCCGCCAAACTTTTCATAGCGGCAAATGGCTGAAGCAGGTCATTTTGAGAAAACGGGCTTTAAAGATTTATCATCAGCCAATGAGATCGCGCATTCAGTCTTTTTACTTTCACGATTGGTTGCTGATAAAAAGGAAATGACCATATTTGGATCCAACAGGATTGTACAGAAGAGAGAGAGCTTCCTAACGGTGCATGTGATGAGAGGGTGACGGCAGAGATCGCGGAGAAGTATGTTGATTAAGAACGCAAACTTTTGTTGAATTTATGAGAAATCTACAGACGCAAACAGACGAAGTGTAGTAAAATAAAGACCTAAATATGTATTTCAGACTTTTTTTCACCACAAGTCTGAAAGAAGACATGTTATTGAAGACAAATATCCAAAAATCTCAATATTGACCAGTAAAAAAAAACCGATGTTTTGCCTGCCGTGTCTCGCCTTAATATAAACAGTACACACTGTTATCAGTATTATTTTGGACAAAGTTTTGCACATTTCACTTCAATACACTGAAGCATGCGTCGTGAATTAACGTTGCAATATGGAAACGGTGGTGGTTTGTTACTGCAGTAATATATCACGTTATATATAAGTCTGTGTATAGTAGCGACGAGCACACTGTGCTGTTATGAATCCAGTGGGAAAATAGATCTCGTGTAGCCCTATTGTTTATTTCGTGTGTGTATGTCTCAATATGATAGAATTATTATTTGATGCAAATAATTCTAGCCGGCTCAGCCAAACTTTATCAGATGGCGGCTCAATTTGGCTTATGAAATTATTGGCTGGCGGCGGCTGAAATTCTAAATGGCGCAAATGGCGGCGCCTGGCGGCGGCTTCGGGGTCTAGTACGCACGCTACACACAGCCTACGACGTAGCTACGGCGTGAGTTTGACGCAGATGTATAAATTGGGCTGTAGCTCGACGTGCACCTCCAAAAAATTGTAACTACGCACCGAGGCGACGCAGACCGCAAGGCCTGTGATTGGTCATATGCACCGCGATGCAACGCAACCTGACGCAGAACCATAAAACGGCCACGACGCCGTAGGAGTGACGGTGTAGCATAAAGGCCTCATTTATTAAAGGCCTCAGGTCAATAATTAAATATAACATGGGAAGTGAGGCCAATATTATATCCATCTGCAGTTTTATACTACTGATTTTTTATGATTTCGATTCTGATTCTAATTTCAGAATAGCATAGGCTACTAGAATACTGTTCTTATTATTTCTACCATATGCTGATATGACAGAGATAGTAAGAGTAGGATGCCATTTTGAGATCAGCCCTTGTGAAACTTCCCCATGTGACAAACACAGTTTCATGTTATGAGTCCCCTTGTGAAAAAGAAGTGTGCTTAATTGTATTGAAAGTGTACTTTTTGTGTGCTTAAACTCATAAAAGTATACTTTTTGAAAAGTGTACTTGCAGATAATATAATATAATTAAAATTAAAGACCACTTAAGTGTACTTAAAGGGAATACACTTTAATGACAATATTTATTAACTCACTTAAGTGCACTTTTACAAATGCACTTTGTAATAATATCTAATTAAGTTTAACTTAAAGTAAGTACACTTTCATCACAATATTTATAAACACACTTAAGTGCACTTTTAAAAATGCACTTTGTAATAATATGTAATTAAGTTTAACTTAAAGTAAGTACACTTTCATGACAATATTTCTAAACACACTAAAGTGTACTTTTTAAAAATGCACTTTGTAATAATGTCTAATTAAGTTTTACTTAAAGAAAGTACACTTTCATGATCATATTTCTAAACACACTTAAGTGCACTTTTTACAAATGCACTTTGTAATAATATCTAATTAAGCTTAACTTAAAGTAAGTACACTTTCATCACAATATTTCTAAACACACTTAAGTGCATGTTTTAAAAAAATCACTTTTTAATTGTGTCTAAGTTTTACTTAAACATACATGTTAAATAATTATGAATTTATAGTGTTTTAAAGTTATTAAAGTTATAAGTTATTAAATGAAATTTATTTTGATGTATTGACTAATATACTAAATAAAATAATATTTTTAATGGAAAACATGGAAAGTAATTCACTTTAATTTCAACTCAAGTGTGTTGTCCAAAAATAATTTGTTCATGTATTTTAAATGTGTTTAGTCTATAATATATACTGTGTGCATTAATGCACTTGGAATGTATTTTTCCAATAAATTTGCAATACAGTATAATCCAGGACAACCTATTGTTGACATTTTTGTCAGTTTTCTACATAATATTTGACAATAAAATTTAATTTATGAGAGGAGTCTTAGCAGTAATGTGTTGTACTTTACATCTGTGAACAGAATACTTTCAATATCATTATGTTGTTCTAAGTCAATTAAACACATTTAATTGCAATCTACACTACATTGAACAAAAATATTGACTTTTAGATGAAAGAGTAAAGTTTTGTGAACTTACAGAGTCTAACAACACAATAGGCTATATGCACGCATAAGTTCCGCATTTGACGCAAGGATGCTCGTCAGTTTCCGGTTGGGGAGATTAAAGCGGAGGAAAACGAGGAAAACGGGATTATGGCAGAGTCTTCAAAATTTACTGTCCTCCCGTCTTTGAAACGAAACTTTCATACGTTTAGATGTAATTTTATATATAGTTATGTTTATTTAATATAATTTTAAAAAGAAGCATAAACACAACGAGGTGTGTCTGTTTTGTCAGTTTTTGTGACTAACGCTTCTTTAGTATAACCATGGAGTATACAATTCAATATAAATTCTCGGTATTGCATTGGACTCTATGATCGGCGGAAGTTATCGAGCATCCTTGACCTTCACCGGAAATACCGCCGTGCATAGAGCCCATTGAGTTAGAACAACTTCAACTTAAACAGAAAAGCTAAAATGAAAATATACTCTATAGACCATTTCAAGGACGTAAACAATAACAAACGCGTTGGAATGCTACTGCGCATGTCTGGCCCTGAATCATTTCCGGTGGCGCCATTTTAGAACCACAGATCTGTGAAAACCATAGGTGAAAACAAGCTCGTACTTTTTAAGTCTAGCAAAAGGCAAGTTAAAGTATTTCCAAAAACTGAAAATAAATGATGATTAAAATCATCGGACCTTTTATAAGACGTTGATGCGTAAACTTTTTACCTGAATAGTCTGACGGCTCATCTGATTGCGTGTTGCGGCTGCTTGCGTGTACACGAGAGATGCGATAAAAGCATATCGCAGTCTGGATGCTTACAATTAATTTCTTAGCGGAAAGGTTGGGAACATTTATTCGTACAATGTGGATGACATCTGTCTTGTGTTTGGTGCAGATGAAGCAAGTCAAACAGCGTCAAAAACGTACTTATCATGGTTTGTCCGACGAAGTTACGAGTGGGCATTTCACTTGCATTGCTGGGTCAGTCTGTATATCTATGCAAATATTCATATTTATTTGTACAGCGCAATTCAAAATACATATCGTTTCAAAGCAGCTTTACATAACATGCATGTACAGGGTATATGCAGGAATCTTGAAGTTAATTTTAATACCTTTTCAAGACTTTTTCAAGATCTTCTCAATATTTTTTAATACCTCACCGCCACTTCAAGCTGTAACCATTTACATCAGTGATACTTTTAACTTAACAGTTTTAGTTTGTGATAAAGACTATAGACCACTCTGATAAAAAAAAAAAAAATCAAATAGGCTGGGATAGTAAATCAAAGTAAAGTTTATTAAAAAACAAAACTTTGCTCCACCCTCAACAACAATCATGCTGACATGTGCCTCAGTTCTTCATTTTTTTTAATAAAAATGACTAAATTCACACACTTTTACGATGTTTTTGAGACTCAAACTGTTGGACAGCTAATTCAGAAAAAATACTTTCAAAATGTAAGACTTTATAAAGCCGTGATAAGACTTTTTAAGGGTCTTAATTTTCCCAAAATTGATTTATCACCTTTTAATACTTTTCAAGACCCCGCGGATACCCTGATGTATATTACAATGCTAAATGAACGCTAGTAAACTAATCGCTGTATGCCATTACTCATTTAATACGTTTCCAAGGGTGTGTGTTTAGTTAGGTGAAGTTTGTTGCTGTGGAACTGTGTGCGAGGGTTTAAATGTCCTATCTGAGCCATTCATGTGGTCACAAATAAATAGAAGGTGAATGCAATTTAATGCTGGCTGTCTTTATTTTCTAATGCCTGTATTAGCCATTTAAGAGAAACATGCAGATTAATAATTGTACAATTAAGAATAAAACACACAGAATACACTTTTCAGGTAATTATGTTCTTTTATGGTTTTCAAGTAGTCACATACAGATTTGCTGTGTATGTATACAGGTGAAACTCGAAAAATTAGAATATCATGCAAAAGTTCATTTATTTCAGTAATTCAACTTAAAAAAGGTGAAACTAATATGTTATATAGACTCATTACATGCAAAGTGAGATATTTCAAGCCTTTGTTATAATTTTGATGATTATGGCTTACAGCTTATGAATTCAAAATTAGAATATTGTGAAAAGGTTTTCACAATATTATTGACACCTTTTAAGTTGAATTACTGAAATAAATGAACTTTTGCACGATATTCTAATTTTTCGAGTTTCACCTGTAGTAGTCAACTTTTGAAGTGGATCAAAAAAGTTAATCAAAGTTGTCCTAAGACAAGAACGTGTTTTGTTCAATACTAATGTATAACTTTGATGAAAGGGTTAGGTCCACTTCAAATGTTGACTAAATTTCTTATTGTGTGTTTACTTGTATGAACACAAAATGCTTCAACAACTGAGACAACAACATAAAACACATTTCACAGAATGTTTTTTTTTTTACAAACAGAAATGGAGTTATGAGTCCCTGAACAAAGGGGGTCAATATCAATCCTCAAGTACTCCAACACATCTGGGGGTTCATACAGTGTGTGCAGAATTATTAGGCACGTTGATTTTCTGATCATATTTTTTTCAGGCACATTTTACCAATTCCAAACCACATTAATCTTAATAACTACTATTCATTTAATTTTGTATTTAATCATTTACAAGTGATATATAATTGTTTATGAAGGCTGGAAATGAAAAACGCCTTATATTCAGGTGTGCATAATTAGGTATGTTTTCATAATTAGGTAAGCAAAAATCGCCACTGAAAAAATCACAAGCTGAAGTGTAGTAGAATACATGATCTTCCAGAATCTGACAGTAACTTTTGGGAGTTCATTTTTAGTCCATCTCTGCAAAACGGACTTCAGGGTAGGAGATGGACTAAAAATTAACTCCCAAAACTTACTGCCAGATTCTGGAAGATGAATTCTTCAAACAGTGGTACAAGAGGATGTGGTGCTGGTCCTTCAGGAGTCACTCTCGATCTGTCTGTCCATAAAGCCATAAAAAACAGTCTTCATGTATTTTACTAACTTCAGCTTGTGATTCTTATTAAGAGGGGGTAATTTTTTAGGATTCTTTACCTAACCTAAGTCTCTGAGATCCTGATATCTTGCTCTTCTGGAGACTCCAGGTAGGTAGCAGTTCTGGAAAATGGCGGCGCTGGAGACTAAAGGGTTCCTGATGGTTTCACGCTTAATTCTTCACCTTAATTGTTTTACAGTTAACATGCGTCTTTTCTTCTCCACCTGTTTTCGTCTGACCCAATGAGCATTTCACTGTCCAATGGTCATGCCTTAACTGCAATTCCTAGTATTGGATCCTTCTCATGGGCATTTAATGATTTTTGACTTTTCAGTCTGAGTTAAATCTCTTTTTTTGGCTTATTTAATCTGTAAAAGAAAACATGCCTAATAATTATCAATTATTATCCACCTGAATATAAGGTGTTTTCATTTCCAGCCTTCATAAACAATTATATCACTTGTATATGATTAAATACAAAATGAATAGTAGTTATCAAGATTAATGTGGTTTGGAATTGGTAAAATGTGTCTGGGAAAAAAAATATGATCAGAAAATCAACGTGTCTAATAATTCTGCACACACTGTATGGTCACATGTGGTTTGGCACTGCAGGACGATTAGCTGTCTCCCTGTAGCAGTGTTAAGCGTCTTAAATTACAGATGATGGCTTTCCTATTGAAGACAAAAGTAGAAACACAATTATTTAACTTAATCTGGTTAATGCACAATATTTAAAAAACAATGCTATTGTGTAATACATCAGTAAATGTTGGAATTAACATTAGCCAAGCTTAATAGGCTAAGTGATGAATTTTTTTTTACCTTTACCATTTGTAAACTACTGCAGTTAGCTGTTACACACCATTCTGCAGTTGTCAACTGACTAGACAGCTTGACAACAAATGTTAACTCCTAACTTAATTAATTACAGCCCACAGAACATTTAGGGAAAAAAGGAAATAAAAACTTGGCCTTTTTTCAATACACGCGCGTCAAATTGCTAGGTGCATAATATGTAAACAATTACGGTCGGACCCACAGTGCTATCTTAAATTATGCTGCATCACACTTAAAACAGTTAAAGTAGAGAAATACAAATAATCCAATGAAAAAATAAGTATTTTACTTACCAGAATCGAAATGTGTACACTGTATATTGCTAGTTGCTTAGTATCCATTCTTCTCGCTTCACTGCTGCAATCCAGGCGCAGCAAATTTCGAAAATATAAACGCTTTGATTACCGAGAGCAAGTTATTTCCGGGCCTGAGAGAACATCCAACCACTGAACAACATGCTCCTAATTTTAATTTTGACATGTTTTATTCGCATGAATAAGAAAATTATCGCACAATTGCGGTAAATAGACAGTAAATAAAGCGCTTCCCGCCGTTGTTTCGAATGTGCGCTCTAACTAACCGGAAACGTCTGAGGGCCAAACACGTCACTTCCGTACATCTACAAATAGCCGTTGAAATGGTCTATACGAACATGGTGTTTAATGAGCATGCGCCAGAAATACTACGTCATGATGACGCACTACTTCACTAGAGTTTGAAAAATGCGCTGTTATGTTTCTGTAATGGCGGTGCATGAAGAAACTGAAGCTTCCCAAACAAAAGGAGCGCCACGTTTGGTTGTTTGCAGATGAGATGTTATACTGCAAATAATCAGTCAAGTAAGTATATCTTGATGCTTTCTTTATTGAAATTTTTTTCACCGCAGTTGATATTGCGATTAAGAGTGCTTTTTAATCGCAGATAGTAAAGTTATACGCAACAGATTCGGGAGGTAAATTAATCATGTTTCCACTAATTTATCTATGATTGCATTCTAATAATGTCTTACATCGTAATGTGCTCGCGTGTGTGGCCGTGTTCGAGGAATTTGTCTACTGAAATGTGTTTTATATATATATATATATATATATATATATATATATATATATATTTTCATTTATTTATTTTAAACCGACTTTTTAAAATAATTTTAAACAAACTAAATGACTTAAAGTTAAATTTGCATGCTGAATGCTGATCCAATTGTAACTCTCGAAGTCATTTATATTAATTAATCTTAACCACCATAACGTTACATATTTAATATATCACCCACCTCTATAAATAATGCTTGTAATGTATTTAACGTTAATTTCGTTTTGCATTTGAAGAGAGAGTTGTTCAGTTACTATTTGTTTTGGAATATGTAATATTTTTGTGCTTATCTGGATTAAACATTCATTTTTCAGGATCAGTTCACATTTGTTATTGGAGATACAGGGCAAGCGGTGTGGAATCACAGACCTGTATTGATGAGGTGATGTTACAAGAGTTATTATGAATTTTTGCCCAGCCAGCACACCAAGCTAAAACACTGCTATCAAGTCACCAAGTATCCCTATAGCTTTTAATGCTTTGTATCTTTTCCATTTGCAAGTTATAGATTCCCACCTGTGCATTTACATATGCCCCTATAATCATCATATATTTTTAAAGGTAACAAACCAAATGAAGAAGGCTGCCGCATTACTGTGTCAACCGTGGTAAATACAGGAACATCCTTCATGAAGATACGTGCGGTAAGCTTAAAATTCAAGATTACCTTTCTCAATTTGCATGGGTCTTGGGTTTGCATGGGTCATTAACCTATATGTGTGTAATTGATAAAGTTATGTTTAATTCCTTGTAAAGTAGCAAAATAAATGTTCTCTATTTTTAATAACTTTAAGCCCAGTGTCAGTGAAGATGGCGTGGTCAGTGCAATCCTGGTGTTTGTGGGAAATAGAGGAACCTTGCCCAGCTTTCTACTACGGTGTGACCCTGATGAGGTAATTCATCACATCAACAGTTAGCAGTCAAAAGTTTACGTACACCTTGCAGAATAAACTGCTTCATCAGGGTAGTACTAAATAAAAAGAGAACATATACATTTTTGTGTTCCCTCTTATTGCTAAAATTACTAACATTGTGCAGATACTGCAAGGTGTATATAAACTTTAACGGGAAAATATCTATCACTTTCATTCATTTGAGCCAAATATAATAATGGACTGGATATGTTTTATAAACAAATGTTTTCCTTCACTTTTTTTTCCCTCAAGGTATTTTTTCTGACTTTCCTGCCTCTTTGGAACAAATCCATTCACATTTACTTTGGAGAGCACCGGGACATTGACATAAACAGCACTTTCCAACTACTTCAAAACATTTGGTGACAAATGATTTTGGTTTTCTTGTTTTTGTGCCTTTAGATTTCTTCAGTTTTTGTTTTGTTTTTTGTTTTTAGACAACCTTATATTCACTGTAATGCTGGAGTAAGCATTTTGTCCTGTTTAATCTTGGTGCTATGAAAAGGTTTAAAAGCTAAAATTAACAAGGTTCGGTAACACTTTAATTAGGTCTCATTTGTTAATATTAGTTTATATATTAGCCAACATGATCTAAAAATGAGCATATTTTTACAGTATTTATGAATCTTTGTTAATATTAGTTAATTAAAATTGGTTTGTTAAAGTTAGTTAATACAATTTATAGTCATTGTTCATGCGAGTTCACAGTGCATTATAATTTTAATACACAACTTTTGAATATAATAATGGATTATTAAATGTTGAAATTAACATTAACTAAGACTAATAAATGCTTAAAGTATTATTCATTCTTAGTTCATGTTAACTGAAGGAGTTAACTAATAATACCTTGTTGTAAAGCATTACCCGTCTGAATCTTAGTGTTCACATTTTGCAGTATCACATTTTGCAGTATAACGTCACATCACATTTTGTTTGTATTCTAAAATGATGTTTGTACTGGTAATCCCTAGGTTATGGGGACCAAATTACCCCAAAAGTATAGTAATACCAGTAAATTACATGGAAACAATCTTATAAATCATACAGAATGATGTTTTCTGAAAATGTAAAAACACAAAAATGTTTTCTGTGATGATAGGTTTAGGTACCTTTGTATGAGGGAGAAAATGATTGTGCATATAAGCATCATTGCCCTCCAGACTCTTTCTAAATGAGAGTTAAAGGGATAGTTCACTTTAAAATGAAAATTCTGTCATCATATACTCACCCTCAACATACACTTAAGTGATCTTATGAATCACTGACTACTCTTAAATAACTGGTTTGTAAATAATGCTATACTTCATTTAGAAATTATTAATTGATCATTAACAAAGTATGAAAATATAATTATTAAACACATTATAGATATGCTTATAAATCAAGAAAAAGCATGTATAGCTGTATTTATAAACTTCTTATTAATGTCTATTAATGCTTTATAAATGATGAATTAACTGTTAATTCATGCTTAACTAATGAATAATAGTGTGCAGTTATTATAAAGTGTTACCTTTCTTTCTTCTGCTGAACACAAAGGAAGATATTTTGAAGAATGTCAGTAACCAAACAGTTAACTGGTCCCATTGACTTCCATAGTAGGAAACAAAATACCATGGAAGTCAATGGGACCAGTTAACTATTTGGTTACTGACATTTTTCAAAATATCTTCATTGTGTTCAGCAGAAGAAAAATTCATACAGGTTTGAAACAACTTGAGGGTGAGTATATAATGACAGAATTTTCATTTTAAAGTGAACTATCCCTTTAAAGTGTTGTAACTGTTTATATATAGTGTTTCTTGGGTTTTTTCTTGTGCATCAACAGAAAGGTTTTTATGTATTTATTTTAGAGATTGTTTTGTCAGTAAATGTGGAGGGTTTTAAATTGAATTTGTGTTGATTGTAGCAAGGTTATTAAGACTTTTTTTTGTTCAAATTTGAAATAATTTGCAACTTTATTTATTTATTTTTAATTACAAATGTATTTAATTATATAATAGTGTACATGTATATTACATTAAAGTATATTTTAGTTCACATTAATTGCTTGTCAGTATATTTGGAAGTACACTTTACCATATTTCAAAGTTCATATACAAATGTATTAAAATCCCACTTAATTTGTTCCAAAAAAACACTCTTAATATCAACTAATAGCATTTAATTTGAGCTTAATCTGTGATTCATTTGAAATCAATTACATATAATATGCAATAAGTTTGTCGAAAACATTACACTTAATTCACATTTAAGTGTATTGTTAACTGACATTAAAGTACATTTTAGTTTACATTAATTGCTTGTCAGTGCATTGAGCAGTGCACTTTAAATACATTTTAAATAGACTAGAAGCAATTATGAAAGTAAATATAAAGTTGTATTAAAGTCCCACTTAAGTGGTACCAGAAAAATCACTCTTAATGACAACTTATTGCATTTTATTTGAACTTAATATGTGATATATTTGAAATCAATTACACTTAATGTGCATTCAGTGTGGCGAAAACATTGCATTTAATTCACACTTAAGTGTATTGTTAACTGACATTATAGTATATTTTAAAACACATTAATTGCGTGTCATTATATTGTGTAGTGCACTTTAACTGTATTTTCTGGAAGCAATTGTGAAAGTATATATAAAGTTGTATTAAAGTACCAATTAAGTTGTTTTAAAAAAATCACTCTTAATGGCAACTTATTACATTTTATTTTAACTTAATATATGATACATTTGAACTTAATTACACTTAATGTGCATTAAGTGAGTTGAAAACATTGCATTTAATTCACACTTAAGTGTATTGTTAACTGACATTAAAGTATATTTTTAATCACATTAATTGCGTGTCATTATATTGTGTAGTGCACTTTAACTATAATTTAAATACAATAGAAGCAATTATGAAAGTATATATAAAGTTGTATTAAGTTGTTCCAAAAAATCACTCTTAATTGCAACTTATTACACTTTATTTCAACTTAATATGTGATATATTTGAAATAAATTACACTTAATGTGCATTCAGTGCCCCGAAAACATTGCATTTAAGTCACACTTAAGTGTATACATTTAAAGTGTATTATTTTTGTAATAAGTACACTTTAGAAAAGTACACTAAAGTGCACTTTTTTTTCACAAGGGTCATCAGATGAAATGGTGGGTGGTTTCTTGGTTGGTTGTTTGCACACCACTGAATAAATTGTATGGTCTGTTTCGGCAGGGACTGCAGGTTTTTGGTGTTGTCCTACTGTGTAGTAGGTTGTGTTGGGTCGATTATCTCCCGTTTGCTCCTGCGTCTGATCCTGTACCTTATGAATTAAATATAAAAAGTGGTATTTTTAAAATGTCCCCTTAATAATCATGCTTAGCTGAACAATTACTAAAATAAAGACAATTCAATCAAACATTCACTTACCTACAGTTTACAAAACAAGCATTTAATAGAAGTATTTTTCATAATCTTAGCCTGCTAACTTTTTAGATTATTCTCACCCGTTCTGGAACATCATATGTATGACCATCACTGTTGGTTTTCTGCATTTCTTGAGTCTGACATTTTCAAACCAAAAACTTTATTTATAATGTTCTATCAAAAACTAATAATATGTGTATATATGGAGTCTATGGACACACACTGGCTTAGGCTTGCCACGCTGTGATAGGCAGTTTGAAAAGAGAGCAACACCAGCTGAGAAGCAAGTCTCTGGATAAGGCATTTAGCTGAAACAACGCGGAGACACAACAAGGCTACAGAGATTATAGCCAGGACTAAACAAGTGAAAAGCACAGAACAAACAGGCACAACACAATCCAGAGGACATTTGAGGAAAGGAAAGTCAATTAGTCAAACGAGGACTAGACAGATTCTGAATTCGGAACTGTATGCTACTCTTATTATTCTTACCATATTTTTCTATGGCAGCAATAAGTGTAGTATGCTGTCCTGAATTCAGAAAAGGACTAAACGAGTGGACGTGGCAAAAGGAAACAAGGAGGCAGGACAAGAGAAGCGAATGGTCATTCTTCTCAATATAGTAGGCGAAATACAGTATGTGACAAGAGTAGTATGTCCAAACTCATAAACGAGTAGACAAAAAGTATGATGACTTAATACTCCCAGCGAGATTCTGAAGTGCGCATACAATATAGACTTTACTATTCCATGAGGCCACGGCAGAGGATTTATGAATGGCACTGAAGTGACGCAACTGACGCTGGTGGATCACATGATAATGATAATAGGTGAATGTAGTACATCTGGATTACATTTATACACACATTCATACTATATAGAACATACCTTTTTAGCAATCGGAAAGTTTTATCTACAATTATTTTCACTGTGAACCTGTATGCATGAAGTGTATTATATTACTCTTGCTCTATTTGCAAGAGAAACAAATCTTTGCTGGTGCCAAAAAAGTAAAATTGTAATCAATTCAGATTATTGATTTTAGTTGCAGAAGGATTAATTCAGGATTTGGGAATATCAATGTTCTCTTGAGAAGAAACATGAATTAACATGAATAGAAAACATAACATGAATAAAACAAAAACAGCATGACAACATATTCATAAAGTCTGCGAACAAAATGATGAATAGTAATGTGAAGCTTACCTCAACTTGAGCATAGACTGTACTATCAGCCTCTTGGGCACCTGTGAGTTTAGAATGTACAATAATATATTAACATCAAAATAAAAGGGAATGTATTAATTTCTCAAACTGCTCTAATCAGTGTCTCTTCTAATTTGTGGACCTTCTGCATCTGACTGGATAGAAAAGTACAGAAAAGGTTGTTTTACACTGTAAAAAACATAGTGTAAACCATTTCAGTTATAAATAAAGATAATTATTGCATTAGTCTTTATAGTAACCCTTCCTTTCCTTCTTTTAAGGCACCAGCAAAGAACAAATACATTTATTTATGTCCAAAACATTGTCATATTAAAAACTGAAAAGGTCTTGTGGTGAATATGAAATTAACTGGAAAAAACAGAATAGTTTAAGATGAACAGATTTTTTTTTAGTTGGTCACTAACTTATGATATTTAAATTATGTTATGAGAGTCTTTACTGAATTAAAGGAGAAAACAGTATTCTGCATTATTAAAATTGACCAAAAGAGGAAAAAAAATGTTGTAAACCTATTTTTAACTTCATTTTCAATTACTTATTTTAGTACAAAGTACTTGATCAAATTGATGAACAGAGATGTTTTCCATATAGAAAATATGTTTGAGGCAACATGGGCATACCTTTTTTACACTTCCAGTAGAGAAAGACTAGAATTAAAATTGCCAAAAGACACACTCCCACCAAAATATATAGCTGAGACTGGAGAGGTGCCTTAATCTCTTCATTCCCTGGAAAAAGATAAACATATCATTAAGAACTGTAGTTGTCAGTTACGCAGTTAGACTAGCTTTAGTAAACCAAAATGAGATATTTGATTTAACATATGATTGATTACTAAATGGTGTGTGTGTGTGTGTGTGTGTGTGTGTGTGTGTGTGTGTGTGTGTGTGTGTGTGTGTGTGTGTGTGTACCTTTGACACAGAGTTGTGTAATGTTAATTCTATCTTTTTTCCAGCTAACCGGGTTGCTATAGTTACAGATGATGGATTCCTCACTGCAGTTCAGGATGAGAGTGTTGATTTGTGATGTCACTTCCTCTGGAGAGCATCTGTTGTTCTGATAGCTAGAGTTTATCATGAGGTCATGAGCTCTGCATGTGAAGTTCACAGTACAGGAGTCACTGCTGGAGTGTGAGTTTACAGTCAGAACAGGAGCCTCCACAGCGTCTGAAACACACATTTTTTTTTTTTACAATATCATACATCACTCTATTGTAAGCTGTTAAATTCCTAGCTGTTTACAGCATGTACTGACTGAAACGTTGGCAGATAAATGATGAATAAAAAAACACATTTTTATATTTAATATTTAATTTTTACATTTAATTTCACTACATGTACTGTATAACAGTCCAAAGAATAAAATACTGAATAAATTAGTCTTATGATCTGAAAACGGTAAGCAAAATCAGACTCACCTATAATAGATACTTTGTATGTAACAATATCTTTGTCTGATTCTCCACTTGTCTTTGCTGTATAGAGTCCACTGTCTGTCTTCTGCATGTTCTTCAGTGTGAGAGAGAAAGTTTCATCATTGAAATCCACTCTGTCCTTGTAGGAAGAGTGAGGTTTTACTTCTTTAGTTCCACTTATATATTTAACTATATTCTCTGATTTTTCATTTCTCCAGGATAAAAGATCAAACTCTGGTAGTTTCTGTGTCTGTATATCCAGTTGAACAGAATCTCCCGTCTGCACAAACACAGAGATCTCAGCACTAAACCCTGAGAAGAGAGAAAGTGTTTCTGAGTACAGCTGGTGTATTCACTAGACCCATTGTACACATTTTTTTCCTGAAATGAACATGATCAAATAAATCAAATGTTTTAGATTTAAAAATACTGCTTTCAAAACTTTTTCTTTTTATATGGAGAATAGCATATTTAAAAATGTAATACAGGTATAATGCACATATCTGGAGCTATTTGTCACTGCGTACCCAAATAATCAAAATAAGAAGGAGGTGACATAATTATGGAAATTAAATATTATATTTCTATTACAACACTCAAAACGTTATTTGTTATGTAAGACTGGAAAAAACTGTAAGAATGTAAGAGAAGGTTACTCTCTGAGAAAACAAAGGAAATTAGCATTTGGACCCCCTCTTGTGCTCCATTCGAGACTCAAGTCTCACTTCAGAATCATTCTAATCTACATCTCTTTACCTCCACCCCCACTCTCTCACTCTCGTGGTGATGAGATCACCTAAGGCCCCATCCACACTACTGCGTTTTAGTTTAGAAACGGATAATTAAAATGAATACGATCTCCGTCCACACCAGCGTTTTAGCTGCGTATTAGAATTGATCTCCGTCCACATTAAAACGACTGAAAACGTGGATCACGTGACCATTCACCAACACTGGGCATGCGCGTGCCAGTGTAAACACAACTTCATTGATAAAATTATCCCACCATGCTCTGGGTTAACCCCAAACCGACGCTCCATGTACGGTCAACGCCGCCGCTGCACACGGGAATTGTCACAGATCGCTCGAATAATAGCTTGACTCCGGCGCATGTAGGCAGTTATAGCGTTGTAAAATGCAGAATTTACTTGTACAACAGCGGCTAGCAAAGATATACGCCATGACGGATGACACCCAATCATAGAGCCGAGTGTGAGCCTCTACTACGTCATCGTTTCTAAAGTCCTCCGTTTTGACCCGTCTACACTAAAACACCCTCCGGAGATTCAAAACGAAAAACGGATCGGCAGCGTTTCTAAACTTCTCCGTTTTGGGTCTCCGTTTTTGCCGTTTTAGTGTGGACGGGAGGTGCAAACGTAGCAAAAGGTCTCCGTTTTTAAACGAAAACGCAGTAGTGTGGACGGGGCCTAAAACTCATCCAAAATATATATGGTTTTAATGTGAACAATTATCATACATTTTATACATGTTTGGTATTATTTGAAATGTCTCAGTGCGACTGGTACAAATGTCTCATTCCCAAAGAAGTAAACCAAAAGGTAATAAAGTTCTTAAGAGTTTAGAAATATCTTGCACACAGAAGGGTGTCTTCCAGGCAAATTGCCCTCTGCCCTCAGAGGGTGTTAACAGTGTCCCACTGTTAGCAAATGGTTACCCCCAGTAAGCCTGGGACAGCAAGGTAAATTTCCACTGTGAACTCATATTTACATTTGAAATGAGGTCTGTCTATATAATGAAATGCCACGAGAGCTCAGGGCCTTTTTCTGTATCTCAGATCTGCCCATGAGGCTGAGAGGGGTCTCTCAGCCTCACGTATTTCCAATGTTGGCTAAACATTTTTCCTCTTTGTTCTAGAGCATTTGATGTTTTGCAATGATTATCTTTGAATTGATTATGAAATTGTAATGATACATTTATCTGATGTAATAAATTATTATATTTATTTGATTATTCTAACTGACGTTGACATTATTTTCATTAGAGTTAAAAGGAATAGTCAAACATCGCTCACATTTAATGATACACGGGTATCATTAAAACATTTTTCATTTATGGGGTCAGATGAAATAACGAGTTAATACATATGAGAAAATGTATTGAATTTAATCAAAAATACTTGGCCGCGAGAAAAGACAGTAACACGCAGAGCCCTTCATCCGCTGATCGGAAGACCCTCGTTGGCCTGATCCAGCGCGGGTTTTACAGTTATGCTGTTCACATTATTTAAACAAATAATTTTGATTTAACAGCATTGTAACAGATTTCTCATTCAAACATGATTGCATAATGTTAAACTGACCTGAAACTGTTTCTCTTT